AGACGTGCGGTCAGCCCGCATAGTAAGGACGGGGAACCTGCCCAAGGGTACACTTGCAGCCCTGCCTCCTCGGTCCATCCTCGGCCGCTTTTGCTGGCCGCACACCGCCGCCCGCGCAGTGCCGACGCGGTCTTCCAAGGCCCTTGCGTCCTCATCGTGCGCCCTTCTGGTACGGGTCGACTGTTGCGTCCAGAGGCCGGACTTTTGCCCACGCCCCGACTCCGCCCCCTCGCAGCTTCCTGGTGTGGGCAGTGGCCCCTGTTCGGGTGTTGCGAGGAGTGCCCCTGGCCCAAGGTGCCCCCAGGATTTCCAAGGAGGCCCCCACGGCCTCCAGAGCACCCCGCACGAGGCTCACAGGGTCCCAGGGAGCGAAACGCTGGGGGTACCCTGGGCCAGGGGCACCTTTGGCAACCCCCGACCCGTGGCACCCGTGGGCACAGACCGTCGGTCGCCTCGGGAGTAGGGGAACGAACAACGACGTAAACAGAAAGACTCGGAGGTCCGCGGGGATTTCTCGGATCGGCGCTGGGGCCCCCTGGCGGAGCCTCCGGCGCCGCTCCCGGCGCGCGGAGCGCGCCAGGGAGGGGGGTCCAGCGCGGATCCGAGAAATCCGCGCGGGCCTCCGAGTTTGTATGTCCATGTCATTGTCCGCTCCCCTGAGGAGGGCCGCGCCGCCGCGTTCCCGGCGTCCAACGACGAGGGCGTGCGCCGTGCGCTGCTGCCGCAGCGGCAGGAGGCGTGCGGCGGGGCCTCGCCCGCGGCGTGCGCGCGGTGGCAGCAGCGGCACTGGAACCTGTAGGGGGGCGGCGCCCGGCGGGGGCCGCCCCGGGCCCGACGCTGAAGATGGCTCGGCCCGGGCCCTTCGGGGGCGGCCACGCGGGGGGGGGGGTGACCAGGGGCTCGGTCTCGCTCGGACGGGTGCACTTGGCCTCGGCGGGGACTATTGAGGAGCATCCGGGGATCATTCTGCGAGAAAGCCGCGCACGGAACCGAACAAAAGGCACGGGGAATGGACGTCCGAGCGAGGGCCAGGGGGGGTGATGTCATGGCGGGGGCCATGACATTTCCCCAGATTTCATGGCGCCTCTTCTTGTTTCAAGCCGTCCCTGCCCCCCCCCTCCCTGGGCCGCGCACCTGCCGCCGGCCATGACTTGCGCCCCACCTCTTGGACGCCCCCTCTTGGCCGCCCCCGAGCCATTCCCTACGTCTCGTCCGCCTCCCCGGTTCAAGGAGTGGCGAAGCGTCTCGGCTTGCTTTTATTCTCTTGCATAGGGTGTCTAGAGCTCAGACAACTTTATTCTCTTGCACAGGGTGTCTAGAGCTCCGACCACTTTTTATTCCGCGCCGCACCCCCCCCCCGCGTCCCCAGCGCCAGAGTGGGACCCCTGCGCCGTGGCTCTCTGCCCCGACCGAGCCACCCCGCGCCCCCAACGCCCCAGCGGGAGCCCCGCCCACTGCCCCCTCCGCCAGGAGCACTTTATTCAGCGTCGCACATCTCCCCCCCCCCGCCCCCGCGCCCTCAGCGCCAGAGTGGGACCCCCGCGCCGTGGCTCTCTGCCCCGAGCCCCCCCGCGTCCCCAGCGCCCCAGCGGGAGCCCCGCCCACTGCCCCCTCCGCCACGAACGCTTGATTCCGCCGTCCCCAGCGCCCCAGTTGGACCCCCGCCTCGCGGCCCCCTGCCCTAAGCCCTGCCCAGTGCCCCCTTCCGCCCCGACAATTTGATTCCGCGTCGCGACGCACGCCACCTCCCCCCCTCATCTCCGCGCCCCCAGCGCCCCAGTGGGACCCCCGCCCCGTGGCCCTCTGCCCCAAGCCCCGCCCAGTGCCCCCTCCGCCCCGACAATTTTATTCCGCGTCGCGACGCACACCGCCTCCCCCCCCCTCCTCTCCGCGCCCCCAGCGCCCCAGTGGGACCTCCGCCCCGTGCCCCCTTCCGCTCCGAACACTTTATTCCGCGTCGCGACGCACCCACGCCCCCCTCCCCACCTGGGATTTGGGCCCCGTTGCTGGGCCCCGAGGGGCGATGTCTTGCCCCCTCTTCCCCCCTCCTCCTCCACCTCCTCCATCCCCCTTCCTTTTTGTGCAAGAGCCATGGCACACGTGCCACTTGTTTCGGCACGGCACCGAGCCCCCATCCCGCGCTCCACTCCGCGTCACCCCGACCACCAGCCAGCGCGCTCTCTCCGCCCCGACCCTTTTATTTCGGCACGGCACCGCCCCCCCATTCCGCACGCCCCCTCCGCCCCGACCCCTCGGCACGTCACCGCCCCCCCCATCCCGAACGCCCTCTCTGCATCACCCCGCCCACCAGCGCGCCCCCTCCACCCCGACTCCTTTTCCGATCCCCCCCATCCCGAGCGCCACCTCCATCACCCCATCCACCAGCCAGCGCGCCCCCTCCGGCTCGACCCCTTTATTTCGGCACGGCACCGCCCCCCTCCCATCCCGCGCGCCCCCGCCGCATCCCCATCCACCAGCCAGAGCACTTGCTGCGCCCCGACCCCTTTTTCGGCACGGCGCCAGTCCCACCAGCCAGCGCGCCCCCTCCGCCCCGACCGATTTGTTTCGGCACGGCACCGCCTCCCGCTTCCCCCTCCTCCACCCGCCAGCGCGCCCCCTCCGTCCCGACCGCTTTATTTCGGCAAGGCACCGGTCCCACCAGCCAGCGCGCCTCCTCCGCCCCGACCGCTTTATTTCGGCACGGTACCGCCCCGTCTCCCCCACCAGCCAGCGCGCCCTCTCCGCCCCGACTCCTTTGTTTCGGCACGGCACCGCCCTCCCCCCCTCCGCACCCACCGCGCAGCCAGCCCCTCCGTCTCGACCCTAGCGCGCCCCATCCGCCCCGACCGCTAACCCGCCCCCTGCACCCCCCGCGGAACCAGCCCCTCCGCCTTGGCACGGCACCAGTCTCCCCCTACCCTATATAGCGCGCCCCCTCCACCCCGACTGCTTTATTTCGGCACGGCACTGGTCCCAGCCGGCGCGCCCCCTCCGCCCCGATTTCTCAATCCAGCAGCCAGCGCGCCCGATCCGCCCCGACCGCTTTATTTCGGCATGGCACCGGTCTGACCAGCCAGCGCTCCGCCCCGACCGTTTTATCCTCTTGCACAAGGTGTCTAGAGCGCGTTTCTTTATTGCTTGGGACATGAGTGGCGTCATGGCCCCCGGCCCCCCCCCTAGACGTACCGCTCCCCCCCCCAATGCGTTCTGGGCAATGCCGCCGTGCGCATCGTGATCCGCATCGGTGTCCGCAGAGGAATCCGCATAGGAGTCTGGTCCGCAGTCGTCGTCCTCGTCCTCGTCGCCGTCGTCGTCGTTGTTGTCGCTCGTCGCTCGTCGCTCGTCGCTCATCGTCGTCGTGCGCGCGGACGCAGCTGGAGTTTTTTGTTTACATTTTGGGCCGATGACGGCAATCATCTGGGGGGTGGAGGGGGCGATGACGTCGCGTTTTGCGCTGGCGGCGTCCGGGAATGCCTAGGAATGACCGAGGACGGGTAGCAGCAGCATGTCGGTGGCGACCTGCGCCACAACGCTTGTGTACACCACAGTGCTTGCGTGCACCACAGCGCCTGCGTACACCACACCGCCTATGTACACCACAGCAGCCGCGTGCAACACAGCGCCAGTGTGTACCACAGTGCTTGCTGGCACCACAGCGCTGGTGTACACCACAGCGCCTGCGTACACCACATCAGCCGCGTGAAACACAGCACCACTGTACACCACAGTGCCCGCGTGCACTACAGCGCCACAGCGCCTGTGTGCACCACGGCGCCTGTGTGCACCACAGCAACCGCGTGCAACAAAACACCACTGTTGTATATGTAAGTTCATAAGGAATCTTTATGACAAAATGGAGCGCCTGTGGACTCAACAGAAAACACATGTTTTATACAGGATTTGGAAAGGAATCGTTATGGAAAAAGGAGCGCCGCTGGAACCTACGAGTCCTCCGGAGTCCGCCTGCGTCATCCTAGCTCCTCCCATCCGCGTCCAGGAGTCTCCAGCTACATTGGCCGTCCAAGAACCAAGTGGACTGATTCAATCGACCATTCTGCGGTGCACGCTAAGATGCGCACCTGCGCTGTAGCGCCGACCCGCACGGCAGGGGGGAAGGGTGAGGGAGGAGGAGGAGGACGACGAGGAGGAGGAGAAGGAGGACGAGGAGGAGGAGGAGGATGAGGAGGAGGGGGAGGAGGAGGAGGAGGAGGAGGAGGAGGAGGAGGCGGAGGTGGAGGAGGGAGGAGGGAACAACTTCGCATTATATTACCAGCACTGCCATGGCGTGGCGTTTAGCTGTCCGCAGCAGATCCTCACCGGCATGCTCGTTTTACTTGTCCTGTACACGCAGGCGCTCTGGTGTACACCAGCGCTGCGTTGCACGCGGATGCTGTGGTGTAGACAGGCGCTGTGGTGTGCACAGGCGCTGCGGTGCACGTAGGCATTGTGGTGTAGACAATCTTTGTGTTGCACGCGGCTGCTGCGGTGTACACATTCGCTGTGGTGTACACCGGCGCTGTGGTGCACGCAAGCACTGTGGTGTATACAGGCGCTGCGTTGCACACGGCTGTTGCGGTGTACGCAGGCGCTGTGGTGTACGCAGGCGTTGTGGTGCACGCGAGCATTGTGGTGTACACAGGCGCTGTGGGGCAGATCGCCAACTACATGCTACTCGCGTTGTCGTCGTAGTCGTCGTCGTCGTCGTCGTCGTCGTCATCGTCGATCGTCGCTCGTCGCTCATCGTCGTGCGCGCGGGCGCGACTGTGATTGTGGAGCCACACGGCGGGGGGGGGGCGTTACGTCATACCCACCCGCCCACCCACCGCCCATTACGCCCGTCATCGCCGAAAATACAGAAACGCGCTCTTAAAGCTCCGACCAGTTTATTTCGGCACGGCACCGCCCCCCCATCCCGCGCTCCACTTCCGCATCACCCCGACCACCAGCCAGCGCGCTCTCTCCGCCCCGACCCTTTTATTTCGGCACGGCACCGCCCCCCGCATCCCGCACGCCCCAGTTGCATCACCCCACGCACCAGCCAGCGCGCCCCCTCCGCCCCGACCCCTCGGCACGGCACCGCCCCTCTGCATCACCCCGCCCACCAGCGCGCCCCCTCCGTCCCGACCGCTTTATTTCTGCACGGCACCGCCCCCCCATACCGAGCGCCACCTCCATCACCCCATCCACCAGCCAGCGCGCCCCCTCCGCCCCGACCCCTTCTATTCCGGCACAGCACCGCCCCCCCATCCCGCACGCCCCCGTTGCATCACCCACGCACAAGCCAGCGCGCCCCCTCCGCCCCGACACGTTTTTTTCTGCACGGCACCGCCCCCCCCCATCCCGCGCGCTCCCTGTGCATCCCCCCACCCGCCAGCCAGAGCGCCCCCTCCGCCCCAGCCCCCTCATTTGCACGGCACCGCCCCCTCGCATCCCGCGCGCCTCTTCCGCATCCCCCACCCACCAGCCAGAGCGCCACCTCCGCCCCGACCCATTATTTCGGCACGGCACCGCCCCGCCACGACCCCTTACTATAGGCCCGCCGCATCCTCACACCCACCAGCCAGCGCGCCCCCTCAGCCCGCGCCCCCTCCGCACCCCCCCACCCGCCAGTCAGCGCGCCCCCCTCCGCCCCGACCCCTTTGTTCCGGCGCGGCACCGCCCCCTCCGCCCTGACCTCTTCATTCCGGCACGGCACTGCCACCCCCATCTCAAGCGCCCCCTCCGCATCTCCCCATCCACCAGCCAATGCGCCCCCTCCGCCCCGACCCCTTTTATATCGGCACGGCACCGCCCCCCCCCCCCCCCCTCCCGAGCGCCCCCTCCATCACCCCATCCACCAGCCAGCGCGCCCCCTCCGCCTCCTCCCCCTTCCTGTCTGTGCAAGAGCCATGGCACGCGTGCCACTTGTTTATAAGGCCCACAACAGGAGATGCTGAGGACCTTTTCTGGAGTGCACGAAAGGTTATCATAGCATTGCTGGCCGAGATTGTATTGTTCTAGCCACTCGAGCTCATGCTCTAAGGTCACTGTTTCGTTACATTCGAACAGTCTTTAGTTCGAAGAGCATGTGGTGGAAGGCCTATAGGAAATGCCGGGACTGTCGGTCCCTGCTCAATTCCTCCCCCTCCCGACAAGGGAAGGACTCGGCCAGGTGGAGCGCGGTCAGGCGGAGCTCGGCCTGGGGGCCGAAGGCGGTCGGCCGAGGTCGGCCAGCCGGGCTCAGCTGGCCGAGTTCCGCCTGGTTGGGTTTTTCTTGGCCGAGGTTAGTTGCTGCCCCCCTCCCTGGCCTCAAGCGTCGCGGTTCCTCCTAGGCCGCCAGCGCATTGAAGGCTGAGAAAGTCGGCCTGGGGGGGAGAGTGTCGAGACTTCTGGGCCAGTTCCGTGCGAAGATCAAAACAAATCAACCAGCGTGGGCCCCGAATAGTGAGTGATTGTGGATTGTGGAGGAGGAAGCATATATGTTGTAAGCTACGTGGCGTGGGCTATGTTGTGTACGCGATGTCGCTTGAATTATGTGATGTGAGGCACATGGTGTGAGCTACATTGTGTAACATGTGTGGTGCGAACTGCGTGGGGAAGGCGCAACAGCGCAAGCGAGGTGGGTCCGGTTATGCTGCGCGAGTTCTGCTGTGCAAGCTGTATGGTGGTGTAAGCTACGCGCTGCAGGTCACGCGGGCGCCCCGTGCCGTGCTGCTTGCCACGCGGGCGCCCCGTGCGCTGGCTGGGCGTGCCGAGGTCTCGCCCGGCGGGCGTCCGGTGGGGCGCCTCGTGGGCGCCCGCTTGTGCCGGCGGTGGGCGTGCCGAGGTGTCTCGCGGAGGGGCGCCCGTGGGCGCCCGAGCCGTGCTGCCTGCCGCGCAGCTGGCACCACGCAGCTTCCACGCAGGCTATGCGGTGCAGGCTATGCGGTGCAGGCTGTGATGAACAAGCCATGTGGTGTACGCGCACGGGGCGCCCACGAGCGGGCACGGGCGCCAACGAGGCGGAACCTCGGGAGACCAGCCCAGCGCAGGGGGGGGGGGCCACGAGCGGGCACGGGCGCCACCGTGGCGAGAACCTCGGGGAACCCCATCCGATGATTTCGGAATGCCGACCAAGAGCTCGTGAGAAGTGCAAGCGCTGTTCTGGGAACCGTGCGCCGCATCGCGCCGATGCGTGCGGTCGGGCCGAGGTATGTGATCGAGGTCGGTTCGCGGATGGTACCCTAATCTTCTTCGTGGTTGCTGGATGTTCTTGTGCATCCTGGGGAGGGCACCCTTGGATGTTCTGTGTGCTTGGGGCGACGGATGGCCTCATGTCCTTGGAGGATGTTCTTCTGGCCCAGGTCCGACTGCACATCGCCTCTCTGGGCTCCCTCGATCCTCTCCCCGGGACCGGGCCTTCACCCAGGGATCGCTTCTTGACGGCCTCCCCCTTGGCATCGCTCGGACGTGTGCATGTTTTCTCGGCGAGGACCATCGAGGAGCATCTCTGATCATCCGGCGAAAAAAAGCACGCACGAGACCAAAAAAACGCACAGGGGAAGGGACGTCCGAGCGATGGCGAGCCCCGGGGCTCGCAGCGGGCCCCAGTCGGGCGAAGAGAACTATGCACATGCACCGATCCTGGCAAGGCCCATTTTTGACCCAGGATCGGTGCATATGCCTTCCTGGCCAAGGTAGGAGGGCGTATGCACCGATCCTGGGCTCAGGATGGGCCTGGCCAGAATCGGTGCATGTGCATAGTTCTTTTCCATCCTTGGGACAACCAGCCGCCTTGGCTTCTTCGGGCCGTGGGCCGAGCGCCCTCGCCTCCGTCGGCAGCGCGCACGGGGCCGCCGCGGAGGGCCCCGCCCTCCGACGGGGCCCCGCGCGCGCCCGGGGAGGCCCGCGGCGGGTGCTCCCGGCGGGCTCCTCCACGCTCGGCCCAAACATATCCCCCCAAAGAGCTCCTCGCGCTGCGAGAACATCGCGACGGGGGGGGGGTTCTCTCTTTTGGGCCTCCTGGGGTCCTCCACGCTCGGCCCAAACACCCCCCCCCAAAGAGCTCCTCGCGCTGCGAAGACATCGCGACAGGGGGGGGGTTCTCTATTTTGGGCCTCCTGGGGCCCTCTGCCCGGGCCCTCGGGGCCGGGGGTCGACTTCGGCATCGCTCGGCCGTGTGCATTCTTTCTCGGCGAGGAGCATGCTGGGCCATTTTGCGAAAAAAGCCAAGCACGAAACCGAGAAATGCATGGGGAATGCACGTCCGAGCCATGGCAGGCTGGGGCCCTTCCCGGGCCTCAGGACCGGGGGTCGACGCCGTGAAAAAATCACGACGCCAGGGGCTTGGGCCCGCCCCGCTGGTACCTCCTTCTGCCTGCTGCTGGTGCTGCCACTGCTGGTGCGGTCGACTCCCGCTCTCTCTCTCTCTCTATCCCGCCCCAGAGGGGGCAGAGGAGGAGGAGGAGGAGGAGGAGGAGGAGGAGGAGGAGGAGGAGGAGGAGCTGCGGCTGAGCCCCCTCGGCTCCTCTCCCCCGAGGCCTCGAGCGGGAGCCCGGGAACGCCCCCCGCCTCCTCCTGGACGCCCGACGCCACTGGGGCCTCCCCGGCCCGCCCAGGCGACTCGCCGCCCGAACGGGTGCCTGAGCTTGGGCCACTGCGAGGTTACTCGAGGTACAGTCGGCCCAGATTAGTAGGTCGACCCTGCCAGCTCAAGGGTACCCTGCCAGCTCAAGGTGCCTTCTTACACTCCTGTGGCGATGTGGCCCTCGGAAGGGTCTTGCGTCCTCTCGCGTGCCCTGTCCAATCAAGGCCGACTGTACCATGGAGCTCCATCAGCAGGCTCCCACGCGGCGGCTGGGAAGGCTACCACGCGGCGGCGAGTCGCCGGGCCGCGCAGCCCGGCGGCTCGCCGGGGGCGCCCTCGCCGCCCCGGGCCCTCTTTCTCTGCCGGCCCGCGAGCGCCCGCCCCCCCCCCCCGGAGGCTTGAGGGCACCACCTCGAGGAGGGGGCGGCCCACGGGGCCCCACGAGGGGGCCCTCGTGGGAGGTGAAGAAGAAGTGGCGTGGGGGGAAGGGGGGGGGGCCCAAAGGGCGGCTGAAGACATGGAGCAACCAGGGGGCAACTCCGTGGAGCTTGGTCCCTCTCGGAAGGAAGGAGAGAAGAGAAAAGGGCCCCTGCGGGGCCCTCCTCTGCACCCCCCACGTGGGCCCCCTCCTGCTGCCACTCGCCCGATCCGCCCGATCCTCCGGGGCCCGGGTGTGCGCCGCCCCGTCCCGCACCCCGCCCGCCGCCGATCGCGCGCGGGGTCGGGCGCGGGGGGGGGCTCGCGGGGCCGTGTGCCCGCAGACCCCCTTGTCGCCCGCCGCCCCTGCAAACGCAGGGAAGCGCGCGGGTGCCACTTGCCGACCCGCCGCGAGGGAGGGGCTGAAGGGGCGGGGATCGAGGGCAGGGGAGGGGAGGGAAGGGGTCTGCGACGAGGCGCAGCGGACACAGCTTCTGGGTGGTGCTCGATGGTGCTCTGAGGTTTTCGGGAGTCTCCGCCGGCTGTGGGGGATCTTGTCGCCTCGGGGTGCCCTCCGGCAGATGCAACTCGTCGACATCGCTCTGGAGGTGTCCAGAGCGCCCCGAACGGTTGCAGGGGGTTTGGGCTGCGCTCCGAGAGTCACCAGGCCCAGGCCTCTCCACGCCGTGAAGACATCAGAAGGCACGACGTCGGATCCTCTGATCTGTCTGGGCCTCCCGGGGCCCCGGCTGTGCCCTGGGGCCGCTGGCAAACGACTCGGGAGGGAAAGCCGGCCCTGGGGAAGATGTCAGGAGACCTTTGCGGGTCCATGTTGTTCGGTGGCGAGCGGGGGGGGGGGAAGTGAGGAAGGAGAAGGCCTTCTCAGAAGGCGGCGGGATTCCTCAGAGGCCCTCGCGCCCTCTGAGACGTCCTCTGCGTCTTCGGAGGAGGCCCAGGACACTCCTCCGAAGGCCCGGGGACCTCCGAGCCTTTAAAGCTTCAGAGTTATGTTTGAACATAACCTCCATCCCCACTCAAGACCCAACCGTTCTCGTGTTTTGTTTCATGGCAAGCTAATGAAGAGCATCCATAAGAAGGCCTCCCCCTCCTCGCTTAAGCCCCCGTCGCTCGCCGCCGAGCTGTGGACCAGCCACGGCGCAAAGGCCTTTTGGGCTTCGGGCAGGCCAGGAGATTCCGGCGCGCCTCGCCCTCGGCGGGCGCCCGCGGAGGGAAGGCCGGCGGGTGCAGACCCGCGGCGGGTTGGGCCGCAGGTCCGCCGGCGGAGGGCTTTGCAAAAAAACCGAAGGATTGCAAAAAAAACCGTTTGCAAAAAAACCGAAGGATTTGCAAAAAAAACGAAGGATTGCAAAGGATTGCAAAAAAAACCTTCGTTTTTTTTGCAAACCCGAAGGTTTTTGTTTGCAATCCTTTGCAATCCTTCGTTTTTTTGCAATCCTTCGTTCAAAGCGGGAGCAGCCAGTGAGGCGTCAGCATCGTTGGAACTGGGTTTGAGTCGGGCGTGTCTCCCTACAGGGGGGATTTTCGACGAAGAATACAAGATGCTCAAAACATGCCCCAGAGATGCCCCAAAGTACCCCCCAAAATAGTTCCCTGGTTATTTCTTGGCGATTGTTGAAGTATGTTCGGGGTATGTTTTATTTTTCGTCGAAAATCCCCTTGTAGGGGGACACGCCCGATTTAAGATTTGGGGTTGGGGATCGGCTTGTCGTATCGGGCCGAGCGAACGGGGGGGATAATTAGGGAAAGGGGGGGGGGTGCGAAATCTGCTGAATGCAGCTGGTTTCGGCCCCACCGAGGGGCCCATTCCTCGATGCGCCGGGAAAATCAGCCAGGTAAGCTGATTCTCAAACCCCCCTTTGCTAGCCCCCCCTTTCGCCCAGCCCGATCGTAGGAGGAGAGCGACGACACGAGCATAAATGTTCAAAGGTCCGCGCGGATTTCTGGGGTCGGCTCCAGGGGCCTCCTTTTCTCATACCCCTTCCCTGGCGCCTGGGAAGGGGTG